AAATGGTAAGAGATACACGGTGGCAATACACAAGTTATCTCTAGATGAGCGCAATGAGAGAGATTAGTTTGTCATTTTCAGAAATATGGTGGGTTGTAACGTAAGATTCCGAAGAATGGTCAATAAAACAGCTACTGCAGGAAATATTATCTTTTTTATTTTCCGCGCTGATCGTTGTAAGTGTGGTTTAGTAAAAGTTCTACAAAAGTTCTCTAAAATAAATTATAATTAATAGGTAACCGAGTTAAGGGTTGTAAACCAATTTCTTACCTAACACCAGGTTTATACCCCAAAATAATAAGAATATAATATATTTGGTAATAAGTCGAAAAACAAAGGCTGTTAACACTTGTAGCAGTATAAATAAAATGGCGATCACCCGAATTCCATTATAAAAAAGCGAAATTTATAAATTGAACTACTAGGGCCATCTATATATTTGTTTATAAGAAACCTAATGTTAACATCCAGAATATTATTTTAATACTATATTAAATTAATATATTATATTTAATATTTCCCACATATTTTATTAATTATTATGCTACAGGGTAGAAAATATTAAATATCTGTTTTTTCTTTTTATTGTTTTACGAGTTTATTTTGACTGAAAAAATATATAAATATATTCTCAAAAAAACCTTTTTAGTTTCCTCTAGACGCGAAAAAATACTTACAACGTTTCATTTTTCTGAAACCATCATCAACTTATTATATTTATAAGGGTGCTATATTTTATTTTTCAAGTTTTGAATGATTTCTTATTACCTTTTTAAGGATATATCACAAGTTACTAATGTATCCCAAACATATGATTTTTAAAAGAAAAAGTTTTAACACCATGGTAAGGTTTTATTTTATTTTTAATCTGTTACAATTGAGTAACACTTTGACACATTCGTGTGAATTGCTGTACCGTTAATAATTATAATATAACGGACAATTATAATATAAAATAATAAATAAATAAATAAATGCCTTTATTGTCAAAAATTTTTTCAATTTGTAGACAAAGGTAAACTAACAAACAAAGTAAAAAAACAAGGTACACAAACAAACAAACAAAAGATAATACAAAACATTATACAAATAATATTGTCAGTCTTATTGTTAAAATAAACATTTATAAATGTTTATAATGTCAAAGAACAAAAAATAAAAATAATATTCAAAAATATTTAGCTAGTTTATAGTAAAATATCAATGACCTCTAAATAAATTCATTTCGATGTCATTAGTAAATATAGCAATAGCAAACATTAGACCAGTGGTTGCGATTCAAATATAAATAAGGAAGGAAGAGTCAATATTTTTAATTTTTTAAAAAAGTCCCGGCAATGAGTTCTGCTTTTTAGTCCCAGTGAATATCGAACAGCTCTCTTCTGGAGCCTGAAAATGCGGTCAAATTGAGTCGCACAACACGTACCCCAGAATGGAAGGGCATATCTGAGGTGCGACTCAAAAAGTGCATAATAAACAGTTCTAGCCACTGACAATAATAGATACAACTTTATTACAAAAACGATGAAAACAGTGTCAACACATCAGAAATGCATTTAAATAAATCTTTTTTTTCTTTATCAAAAATTCTTAACATTGTTAGACAGAAATATCACTGAGTTTGGTTTGCTGTGATGCTGTGCCGGATAGAGAGGGAGGCCCATAGGTTCAACAACCTAACCCCCCCTAAAATCTATAAATTGGATATATTAAGCTATAATAAATATTAAGCTTTTGGGTTAAAATGGCGCCCTAAAAAGCCCCACATTAAACAGTAAACATGTCCTTTAATAGTAACGCATATATTCTCTGGTTAATAACCATATTATTACGCATGCTTCTTTAAAAATAAACTATTAATTTAATTAAGAAATTGAGATTTATTGATATCCGGTGAAGGTTTTAAAGTCACCTTTTCTGCAAATCAAACTAAGTAGATAGTCGCAAATTTGAGATGTGGCAATGTCGCCTTCTCTATCTCAGTTGGTTTTTACAGTACGTAGTCAACCTCCGGTTGTTTGATCGGGTTAAAATGCACAATGTGATATCTGTTCTTACTAAATCTATGGTTTGATCGTTTAATGTCTTGCCCTGACCGGTTAAAAAATGTCCAAATCGTATTTTTAATCATATCTCATTTTTTTAATGGAACGAGGGTGGCTCATTAGCATATTTGGAAAAAATATTTTTTTTTGCAAATAATTTGATACAACACACTTGATCTTTCGAGTCAAATTGTCTTTATGAACCGCATGTTACAATTTCAAATAATACATATGAGAAAATGTCAAAATTTGACATATGATATAAACTATACTTTAGTCTATACTTACTTTGCTATAAATGTCGTAATCTTAAATCATACAGGGAGTTCAAAATTCAACGCCAAACTTTCTAAAATATAAAATAATTTTTCTTTGTTTTTTTTTTTAAATGGAAAACCCTGTATATTATATTTTATTAGATGGAGAGTTAAAAAATGAACATTTTTTGTATTTAAAGTATTTCTTAATTTTTAATGGTCCGCTTACTTTTTTGAGCCACCCTATAGAAATTAAAATATTTTCCTGAAATACATCTTAGTACATATTGTACAGGGTGGGTCAAATTCGACGCTTTTAAATGGAAACACCCTCTTCTATAGGAGATAGACGAAAACTAATATTGGTGTCTGGAGCTCACTTTTCATCAAAAACATGATGGAAAACCGCTCATCAATATCTGTTACCGTTTCGGAGTTACGGGGTGTTTTTCAAAAATGTGCATTTTTAACAAATCGCTGTAACTTTTTTGCTATGGAAAATTTTGTATTTCTATGAAAACATTTCCAAAGCACCTTTTTACGTAGAATTTAATGGTTTAAGTATAATTTTTTTAAAATTAATAATTTAAGAATTATCACCAGAAAAATTGATTTTTTATTTGGGACACCCTCTATATTTTTAATTAATTGAAAAGAATTTAAAATTACCTTTCCAATAATATAGCACACTTGATATTTTGTTATAATCCCCTTCGAAATACAGAATTTTTAAAAGTTCGCCACTTTTAACTAGTAGTCTTTGGCCCCTTATTGATGATATGCGCTTAATGGAACTCGAAAATATATTTTTCCAGCAAGACGACGCACCGCCTCTGAACGCTGAAGTTTTCAGCAAATTTTTGCAGCCAATTTTAAGAATAATTGAATAGCTAACCAAAATCCCAGCCGTTGGCCGTCGAGGCCGCCTGACTTAGTGCCCATGGATCTAATCCTATGGATATATTTGTGGAAGAATAAAGGTTCCTTATTCTTCCGTATAATCTAGACAAGAATTAGAAATACTTAGCAGTTATGAGAGGGTATCTATCAAACCCCCCCCCTGAGTTAATGAATTCCGCGAGAAATGTTCAAAAACTGCCCCGTCTGTCCATAACAGAAGACGGTCGATATGTCACAACACCTGTAGCAAAATCTCATGTCTTGGTTTGCTATTTATTTTTATTGTTATTAGATATAGTTTAAATCTGTTGATGATTGTTAAATATATTTTAAATTGTTATAAAATTCTGCATCTCTCATAGCAAATATTATTTTCGTTTTAATTGATGCTCACAGCTAGAATTTTTTCGCATTACAGCCGGTGCCGTTCAAAGCCTACTTATTTAAGCGGGCCGAATTTTTATATATTCTATATCTTGAAGAGGAATCGAGCAAAATATATAATGTGTTATATTTTTGGAAAGGTAATTTTAAATTCTTTTCATTAAAGTAAAAATATACAGGGTGTCCCATATAAAGAATCAAATTTTCTGTTGATAATTCTTAAATTTATTAATTTTAAAAAAATTATACTTAAACCACTAAATTCTTTGTAAAAAGGTGCTTTGGAAATGTTTTCATAAAAATACAAAATTTTCCATAGCAAAAAAGTTACAGCGATTTGTTTAAAATGCATATTTTTGAAAAACACCCCGTAACTCCGAAAATGTAACAGATATCGATATGCGGTTTTCGCCATCATGTTTTTGACAAAAATTGAGCTCCAGACACCGATATTAGTTTTTGTCTATCTCCTATAGAAAAGAGTGTTTCCATTTAAAAGCGTCGAATTTGACCCACCCTGTACATGTTTGCACTTTGCACTTAACAAAATCTCCAATTTTTTATTCTAGGAGCTACAGATCTCTATAGCTCTCTATGTGTCTGACGCACTATTGCCGGACCCTGTATATATACCTAAGATGCTTCCCGAGAAAATTACAGCCCTTGAGAGAGTAGATCTTATTAAGAACATTGGTAAACTACTTTTCTTGTAACTTGTTATTATTAAATGCATTTTTTTAATAGCGGGTAGCGGTTGCATTGACTAAACCAAAAAAAAATCAAAAACTATTCACGCAAATATAGAAAAACTACATACATATTTGAAATTGGAAGAAAAAGATTTTTCAAAAAAAGTTTAAAATATACAGGGTGTAAGAAAGTAACTTATTTCGTAATTTTCTGATCGTCTTTTCATTATTTTTATTCCACTTTCTGACGATTCAGCTTACTCCCTAAGCTTAACTTAACTAGCTGAAGAGCTTATTAACTCCTATATTTACTTTTTTGCTATCTCCAACCAGTCTCCAACAAATTCTTTACTTTAATATATAGGACATCCAGCATAAAAAATATATTTTCGAAAATATAGTAGTTTTTCTCGGGTTTATTTTTGTTTTAAAAGTCCCACTCTGAATTTTAATTTATAATAGTTTCGAGTCCCCTAACGTAAAACAGACCTACCTGCGTTTTCCCGATCGCAAAATCTTTATTAAAGGGATTCGGCAAATATAGACGGTCTATCGCGGTCCCATGCTATCGACCTGATTTGTGTAGTTGTACGCGCACAGACAACCCCGATCAATACTATAAATGGGCCGCCGCTATTGGCTGGCGAAAATCAATGGGACGCTCCAATGTTATCGATTGCCGGAGCGAATTTACCTCCCCCCGGCTCGGTCAAACCACCCTAGAGTTCGTTAGATTCTCGGAACGTAAGCATCTCGCCAAATAACCACCCCGAAGTACGCGTCGCACTCAGTTCTTCAAGTAACAGTGGTGCCAGTCACAAGTGCTAAACATTCCTTCGCAGGTAGGCAAAAACCGTCTTGTTCCCTTGTTTATGAATCTATTAAATCCACGTTATATTATGTTACATACAAAGCAACTCACTTTTAAGTTGTTTAATATATATTTCCACCTAATCTTTTACTCTTAATAACACGTGCGAAAAATTAAATTAAATATACTTTATAAAAACTTTATAATATGTAGGTATTTTTCTTTGTATTTATTATTCTTTTACATTGTTTGTTTACATATTATTTACACCTGTAGAAAAAAGTTTTACACTATCATTTAAGTATATTAAAGTTTCTTTAGATTTATTTAAAACGACATATTGATATTTAACAGAAACATTCAACAATAACTGAAATCGTTTACATCGGTATATCGATTTTCTTTTACGACTTTGCCGGGTATACACGCTCGAATGCTGTTTTCGTGCCGGCTTTGTCGGCTGCGTCCTTTTTTTTCCGATAAGGTCTGTTATGATATTCTGGTTGCCTATGTTATCTATACAGGGACATCATTTTAAGTGTCTCACTCGATTTATAATTTTCCTGTTTGGTATTTAAAGATAGTAGAAAGATTTCCTAATGTAATTTTTTGCGAGGATGCCGATTCTCTACACCAAAATTTTTTAAAACGTCAATTTTGACAGATACGACGCCATTTTGATTTTTTTTAAATGGAAACCCCCACATATTTTAGCATGGTCCGGTAGACATATTTTAGCTAATTTCAAAAATATATAGTTTAGTATACTTTGCACTTACCGTTTTCGATATACAGTGGATTTAAAAATGAATTGTTCCAGAATCATTTTAAGTGTCTCACCCAATTTAAAATTTTCCTCTTTTCTATTTTAAGATAGTAAAAAGATATTTTAATGTAATTTATTTTACCAAACCAAACCAAAAATATATAGTTTAGTAAACTATATATTTTTGAAATTAGCTAAAATATGTCTACCGGACCATGCTAAAATATGTGGGGATTTCTATTTAAAAAAAAAATCAAGATGGCGTCGTATCTGTCAAAATTGACGTTGTAAAAAATTTTAATGTAGAAAATCGGCATCCTCAAGGAAAAATTATTAAAATATCTTTTGCTATCTTAAAATAGAAAGAGGAAAATTTTAAATTAGGGTGAGATACTTAAAATGATTCCGGAACAATTCATTTTAAATCCACTGTATATCGAAAACGGTAAGAGCAAAAAAGTATACTAAACTATATATTTTTGAAATTAGCTAAAATATGTCTACCGGACCATGCTAAAATATGTGGGGGTTTCCATTTAAATAAAATCAAGATGGCGTCGTATCTGTCAAAATTGACGTTGTAAAAAATTTTAATGTAGAAAATCGGCATCCTCGCGAAAAATTGCATTAAAGTATCTTTTTACTATCTTAAAATAGAAAAGAGGAAAATTTTAAATTGGGTGAGATACTTAAAATGATTCTGGAACAATTCATTTTTAAATCGACTGTATATCGAAAACGGTAAGAGCAAAGTATACTAAACTATATATTTTTGAAATTAGCTAAAATATGTCTACTGGACCATGCTAAAATATGTGGGGGTTTCCATTTAAATAAAATCAAGATGGCGTCGTATCTGTCAAAATTGACGTTTTCAAAAATTTTGATGTAGAGAATCGGCATCCTCGCGAAAAACTACATTAGAAAATCTTTCTACTATCTTTAAATACCAAACAGGAAAATTATAAATCGAATGAGACACTTAAAATGATGTCCCTGTACATATCTGTAGAAGATTTCTTTCTCTGAAAAGTCTGGTAATTTAATTTTTCTTACAGTTGACAGTTGGTAAATTTTATGAGGTTTTAATAAAAATACATTATCTTAGTTTTTTTAATATATAAATGTAATACCTTCATGAATTGCAATACATATTAACTTATAATGGATTATTCGTTTTTTTTACTATACCGGGTGCGTCTCAAAAGTGGCTCACCCCCTATAACTTTTATATTTCTTCAGATTCCCGAACGAGATTTGTTATGTTAGTATATAACATAAATTAGATTGACGTATTCAATTGTTTTCGGTCACTTCCTGTTTCACCGGAAATGACTACAAATTTTGATTTTTAAATAGCGCCCTCGGTAATTTGTTACTTTATTCGATAGAAAATGACATATCAAATGTCAACTTTTGACATTTTCTCATATCGACGGTTGAAAGGAGAAAACTTTTGCCACTTTTGTGGAAATTGAGTTATCGAAATCAGCGAATTTTTCTGCGTCGATCTACTTAGGTTTTCTTCCTAATAATCCTATGGTTTGGCGCAGTAAACATTTTAAATTTTGAATAAATTATGAGAAACATAATGCCAAGCGACAGAGTTTCAAAATAAAACAGACAAACAGGTCTTCTGTAAAGTTATGAAAGAGGCGTATTAGCAGTTTCTCCTTTCAACCGTCGATATGGTTATTTGAAATTGTAACATGCGGTTTATAACGATAATTTGACTCGAAATATCAAGTGTGTGGTATCAAATTATTCGTAAAAAAATGCTTTTTCCCAATTATTATGCTAATGAGCCATACTCTTTCCATTTGAAAAAATTGAGATATGATTACAAATACGATTTGGGCATTTTTTAACCGGCCAGGACAAAACACTAAAAACATTAGACGATCAAATCTATTTTTCCAAGGCTCCTTGATTAAAAATTAGTGTTTGTAACACAGCCATGGCACTCTAAATTGGAATTTAAAATGCAATTTTGTTTTAAGCGAAAATGTCAAAAGTTGACATATATCTTATTTTATTTAGAGTGTCATTTTCTATCGAATAAAGTAAAAAAAATAAAATACCGAGTGTGCCATATAAAAATCAAAAGTTGTAGTCATTTCCGGTGAAACAGGAAATGGCCGAAAAGAATTGAATGAGTTAATCAATCCTAATTTATGTCGTATACTAACATACCAAATCTCGTTTATTTATTTGAAAAAATTAAAAAAATAGGGGTGAGTCACTTTTGAGGCGCACCCGGTATAGGTAATGCATTAACTGTTTTATGATTAAACTACCTAATATTGAAAGTAGGAAATTATAGAATATCAAATATTAGTCCATCCAACGGGAAGATACCTGACAATGACAGTGGTATCTGTCATTTTAATTTACATGCATATTGTCTTTTCTGTCATTTTTTGGATGTCGTCTGTCGAAGTTTTCCCTGGCAGACTATATGTAACATTTTGTTAAATATGTATATAATGAAACATATAATGAACTGGAGAATAATTCATCTTTGTTGGAACCTTTGGTGTTACAACAGCAAAATAAAACCCTAAATCACCACAACACTTTTACTTTTGCACAAGTTGCGTGTTTTGCTAACGCATGTTAGCATCATCAGCAACTTTTTTAATCATTTTTAGAGTCGCAGTTTAATCATTTGCTGATGATGCTAACATGGTTAGCGAAACGCGCGATCAGTGCATAAGTGTTGTAGTGAATTAGTGTTTTAGTGTTTTACTTTGCTGTAAACCAAATTTTAACCAACACCGTACCACCGTAACCAAACCAAACCTAACCAACACCAAAGGTTCCAACCCGCAACTGCAATTTAGTAATTTTAATATTGAGTTATGTGTTTTATTTAAATTTTGTCCACATAGCTGATCTTTTTATTTATGGAATTGAAAGGGTACTTGCTTTATAACGAATAAGGCGTCTTTTGTACATTTTTAATGTATGTATGATAATTATATATTTATATTATTATGCAATATATCGAAATTTTTTCAAAAACAGTTCGTGTTAACATAAAAACCCGTTTTGAGTTAACGTATTATTTCGACTATCCTTGTTTATACTAGTAGTGGGAACTATCGAATGAATACTATCGAAACATTCGATAGTTGCAATTCATTCGAATAATTCGATAGTTAGTAAGAAAACATTCGTTGAAAACTATTCGAATAAAAATTATCGAATAGATCCGTCATCTGCCTTGAAATATTGTATTCTAGTAATTCGGCAGCAAAAACCATTCATTTATAAAATTCATTCATTTATAAAATTCATTCATTTATAAAATTCATTCATTTATAAAATTTATAAAATTCATTCATTTATGAAATTCATTTATTCGTCAGGATCGATTATAATAAAATATTAACTGAATTTTAGTTGTCGCCCGGCGACGTAGGTTTTTTTTCGAGAAAGCGGTCGGTGGCAATGCTATGAAAGAAGCCGGCATCTTTGATTTTTTGCGGAGTCATATATAGATAAGGACACATTATTTTTTTTATTGAGGTGCTAGTATTTACACAGAAAATACATTATGAAGGGTGCTGTTGCCATATTTTTGTATTAGTTGATATTAGCAAAGAATATTATTGTTTGGCTTTAGTTAGTTAGGGATAGTATGTCTATATATTCTGAATTTTTTTATTAATATTCTGTTGTTACACTGCAATAATACTTGTTATTTTGGATGTAGGAAAATTATTTTTAATGTTTTTAAGCAAAGACTGGTTTAATAAATAATAATAACAGTAATAATTTGTTATACCTATTGACAACAAAATTTAAAATCATTTAATATAAATATTTTTTTAAGTAGTAGCAAAATATAAACAACAAATTAGATGTCAAAATTATTTATATTAGATCCTATTTAAAAATAATATAGTCTCTAATTTTTTTGGCAACGTTGGTTTATTAAATAATAATAATTACAGAACTAATTTGTTATATTAACAACAAATTTTAAAATCATGAAATATAAACATTTATTAATTTTCTAAGCAAGCGGTGTAATGGAAGGAAAATATAAATAAAAATTAGAAATCAAAATTATTTATATTAGGTGCTTTATATTACTATTTAAAAATTATATTTACTTTTACTGGCATTTACTTTAAAAAATAAATGAAATATTTCTTCGTAAAAAACTACATGTAAGAGAATTAGCATAAACAAAATACAAACATCGTTAACTTTTTTTTAAATTGGCACGTGTAAAATTTTCATTTTAATTTTCTCAC